GTGTATGATTAAATAATTTTTATGTATGATTAAATAATTTTAATATTAAATTTTATTTACCAGAAATCTTACTTCCTGATTTATTAAGGATTCTTGTATCTGTGTTGTGAATATTATCTATATTATCTATATCATTATTTGAACTTACTTCAAATATAAATATGCAGTCTATAAATATATATAAACATTTTCTAAAAATAATATTTGATTCATGTGATAATTAATAGATAATAAATTCATATCACAAGAAAGAAAAAATATGCAAAATAAAATATGCAAAAGAAATATTCAACAATATATAAAATTTAAATCTGTTAATATATATAAATTTATATCATAATAATTTTATAATTTATTTTAATAATTTTCAATAGAAAAGATATAATTGAAAAAAAAATATTATTATAAAAAACATTTGTAAATATCCTATATTTTATTTTGTCAATGTGTATAAATAACATTTGGAAAATAAATGATAAAAATCATTGAGAGAAAAATCAAGAAACAGAGAAAAAGAAATTTGAGGATGAGGAAAACGCGGCCGAAGAGTAACTTCCGGTTGCAGAGGAATAGCAGAAAAACTGACTCGACTTTCCAAGTATCTTCGATCGCTGCACCACTAATGTAACACGATTTTCCCAAATGCTTTTTCGAATTTATATTTGGATTTGTAACGTAAACATCTTTAAATTTGAATTTTAATATTATGCAATAAGATGTGTAAAAATATACATAATCTGAAGGATTATTATATATAATAATCTGAAGGATATTTATATATAATATTTCAAAAATGCAATATTGACATAACTATTATTATATTATTATTATATTATTATATATAATTTTAAACAAATTAATTTATTTTTTGAAATCTAAAATGTTATGTATATAGATTATGAAAATTCGATTATCAATTATAGTAATAATTGATAATAAATAATAAAAATAATAAATAATAATTAAATAATAATTAAATAAAAATAATTTTTAATTTTTATCGATAAGAGAAATCAATGCATAAAATGGATTATATATATATATATTTAACAAAGAATATAGGGATATTTTCAGATGGTTACTAAATTATCTTTTCCCTTCCGCGAAAAGAAAATCGCCTGGAGATGCTTCTATGTAGAATTCAGGCCGGAAGTGCACAGGAGTTGCAGCTTTCGAAGACGATCGTAAAACGCCTCGCGAGTTCCTCGATGTTTCCTTATCCCCACTGCGAGTACCTTTGATATCTACTTATTTCTTATTCCGTTACTAGATGAGAAAGTTAATAATTATATTAAAGAAAAATCCAAATTATTTTCACATAATTTTATCGATAATAATAAAAAAAGAAAAAGGAAAAATCAATATTTTTAATTTCAATGTTTATTTAAAAAATTGATTATATATAATTTTCATCCAATTATTAAATTGAAATAAATCTGTTAGAATATTCTAAAATAAAAATAGTTAGTATTGCAAATATTTCTCAAAAGCAATTATGTATACAATCAGGCAATGCGATGTCGTAGAAACGTAAGCAATTCATAATGTTCGAATAAGTCTTGCTTACGTCGTCGCGGCCTCGTCCAGAGAGCAAGGACATTCATTGGCCACAATTCATCTGTCGCGCAATGCTCAACCAATCGTAAACTTGACTAGCGCTTTACTTCCGTCGCGAAGCCACGCATTCGTCTGTCCTCGCGTACACTGGTTTCGTTGTCACGGCACAGGTATTATATGCTTATATATTCACTGCATACGGTTGTACTCGCGAATGAGCAGGTTTAAACGCTTGGTACGCGCTCGTTTCCGCGGTCAGAATCATTGGCACATTCTCGCGCCGGCAATAAACCGCCAGTTAAAACTCCCACTCTCTCATTCTTCTCTTCTCTTTTTTTCGGCGCTGTTCGTTTTACGGCTTCAAAATTTGCGGCCAATAATGATATGAATAATAATAACAAAGTTGAGATATGCGTCAATTTAACGAAAACATTTGATTATCAATAATCGTGAATCCCAACGCATCAAATGAAATATATTTTGACTCGTCACGGTCTGCAGTTCGATCTCTTCGAAAACAACGATCTCTGCCTAACCGACTAGTCACACCGTCATCATTTGCGCAGCACAAACAACGGGAACGAATATCTTGAAGTATTTCTTTTGAATTCTTGCTTCAAAAATTCCGCGTTATCTTGATCTTCATCGTACAACGAGAAAATCGATCGAAATTTAAGTTATAGAGATAGAAACTTTCACATATGTACGTAACGAGAAGTTGAAATTCTTTCTCTATATGTTAAAAGCGTTACAAACACTAAGATACATGTATATAAGTAAATACCCAGCAACAATAAAGGGAGAAAGAAGTTTGTTCCTCATCGCGAAGAGGAGGAAGACATTTTCACCGCGCCTTCACGGAGAAAACGACTTCGCTTAGAACTGCCTCGCCGACGGCTGTGGCCGTCGCGCGATACGCTTCTCAGAGCCTCAAGCACGCTCTCCCCTCGGGCTACCTACGGAATGTCACGCAAAATTCGCGAAATTAACCGGCCTGTTGAGTACTGACGATCAACGATCGATGCGTCAATTTGCACGCTCTTGTTTCGCGATCGAAGCGTTCCGATGATGCAGCTCGTTTACCCGATACCGAATAAAAATGTTCGCGGTGAATTTTCTTAGGCTGCATGCCGTATGGAAGGTGGCGCGCGGTATCCGTACGACGTTGTCTGCCGTTCGTTGCTGGCTCGCAAGAGCCGAGGCCTTCGAGCACTCTTATGCTGCTTGTCGTATAAAGGCTGACAGTCAGTGGCGGGTTTCGAAGCTAACGGCGTTGGGCAAACTCCCTCGAACTCGGGGGCCCCGATGTCTACGAGTTCCCCGTTTTGTAGCCTCAAAATCGTACGTCGAACGTTTAAATTATTATTATATTACGCTGAAGATATTAGAAATTTTTTTTTATAATTATTTTTATTTAATTTATATTTTATAAAATATTCCTTCATGTATAATTTTTATATTTCTATTTATGATTATATTTTAAAAATTAAGTAAATTAAATAAAATGAAGAAAAAGATTTTTATTAATATTGATAAATTTGAAATTTTGAAAAATTGAAAAATTTTATTATAAAATATTATAATATATAATTATATGCGATATCAAATAGTTTCGGTTATGATTTTATATCATTCGATAATATAATTCGGCCGTACGATATAAGAAACTTGCTGATAAATGGTGCGAGAAGTGCGAAGTTCGCGAAATAATTCTTGGTGAACCTATTGAATGGTTTAAGTCATTTTGAGTTTTTGTTGGATCAAATTTTTCATCGTAGCTCAATCCATTCTCCCGTAACTTTCATCGAGCGAGAACAGGCTACACTTTCTCGCGCAGAACAATTTTTCTCATCGATGTTAGTGCAAATATTTCTATGAAAAATGTTGAAACAATAATATTTCATATTATAAACCAAACTCATAGTAAAATAAAAAATTTAAAAAAAGAAAATAAATTTATGAATATATATTATTATAAATTTATAAATATATTCTATATATTATATATATATAATATTAAATATATTATAGATGTATATTAGATGTATTATATTTATGAAGAATTCTATTTATATTATATTTATATTATATCTAGAATAAAGTATTAAAAATATTAAATATTTTAATCTTCGATTTGTTTTTTTTTTTGACGTGCTTTAAGGACACGTGGTCTTTTCTTGCCCTTTGTATCTTGAACAAGTAAGTTCTATCTTTGCTATTTTTTTTTGTTTTGTGGTTATTTAAAATTACACGTATCATAAATCAGGATATAAATCAGATTATATAAAAGCATTGATTACATTTCAAAATCATACATTCAAACAATGAATTTCCTTTCTATGAGCAACCTGAATGGCATAAACAATCCGAGGATATTCAATATCAATTATATAATTAATTTACGTGGCGTGAATAGAACGCACCCTTCCGCCCGTACGAAATCTACCACCGGTCGAATGTCGACAATATGCTGTTCGCTTTTCGGTGTACAATGGCTTTTAAAAATAATTTATTGAATTCGAAATCCAATCGGTCGACGTAGTAAATTATTGAAACGCGCAGAACTATTTTAATTTTCTCGCGCGTATTTTGATAGATATATCGAAACAATTTAGCTAACACTCTAATGGATTCGTATTGTCGAAGGTACTATCTTTGGATAAAAAAATTATTCGATCGAACATTTAAATCATCGGCATGATCGCGTACCAATATTCATGAAATTCATTCTGCATGATTTTGTATGAACAAAATACACACAATGCGCGTGTTACATAGTTCGGCTACGCACGGACAACCGGTAGCGTATAAAAATAAATTCTGAAACTTTCTTCATGAACATTAAAATATCCGCGATACTCACTTATTGCAACTTTACAAGCTGAAAAATAGAGAATCATTTAATTCAAATTCATTAAGGAAGTATTTTTCTTTTATTTCCTTAGGAAATATTTATTTACAAATAATTCGAATAAGTAATGTAAATTTATATACGTAATATATATATATATATATATATATATATATATATATATATATATTATATAACGATCGATATGAATAAAAAAATTTTCAGTTCTCTCTCAAGAGAGTTCATATAGTACTAAATAATTATAATCATATTTTACATTTTTAATTTTTTTTATTTTAATAAAATTTACAAAAAAAATTGTTATATTAATTTTTTAATAAAAAATAAAAATTTTATGAAGAATTATAATGCTATTTGAAAATAGACATAAATATGAGGAACAGGTCCAGTACAGCAAAGCTACAGCACTGGGTGCCGTGCCGTCGTGCTAGAGTGCAGGTGGGCCGATGTCCAACGGAAACAGCCGAGCGCACGCTCGGGGGAAAACCGAGCGGCGGCACTCGACGAGTACTGTTGTCAGAGTATTCAGTAATGCTTTGCATGACCAGCCAGTCAGTAGTGGGCTTGTTGGTGAGAGTCGTGTCGTTTACTCGAAGTGATCGTGTGGTGTTACTTGACGAGATAGTCAGGCGGTATTCTAAAACACGACGTACAAGCAAACAGCGACAAATACAGCTACAAACGTGAGTGCATTTCGTGAGACTGTGAGAAAGAAAACGAACAGAGCGTTTCACGGAGCGCACACCGACGGTGGAGCTTCGATTTCACATACTGTTTTTTCACTGAAAACAAAAAACCATAGCGCTACACTGTGTATGGTACACGAGCGATCCAAGATGCTGTCGTCAGTGCCAGCGAAATAATAATGTGGTGCGACGTTAGTCAGGTGAGTGAAAAGTGCTACGTCAGTTTCTTTTTCTTTACAATTTTTTTTTTCTTTTCGAAAACTGTGTCCAGTCTGTGTTTGCCTATCTCTAACGTTCTTGTATGGCCAGCCAAGAGAGCGTTATGTGATCACGACACCACAGTACGAGGTGGTTGTGTGTCATTCGCTGTGAAAATTTCAAACTTTGTTTCGGTTCTTGAGTTCGGTGTTCATACGCGAAAGGACTTTTCTCGTTTTTTGCGACGTTTTTCAGCCATCGAATAATTTTGTGTCTCGATCGTGCTAGTACAAGTGTTCAGTGTGTGGATTTTTTTAGCGTGGATGGATACCTGGAATATATGATTATATGTATCACTTCGAAGTATCACACCGAAGAGAATGTTCCATTTTGAAACAACAAACGCAATTTGCTTGAAAATAAATTAATCTCTTATAACGCCTTGAAAGGCTGGCTCGCATGAACGATAGAAAAGGCAATGAATCTTGTGGAGACATTTTTATGATCTTCTTGTACCATCGAATTGGTCATCGTATGATATAATTCGAATATTGCATGGATTAAATAAACTCGTATCTCAGAATTCTAAACACATCTGTCGGTTAAGAATCGCTGAATCTTTTGAGTATTTGTTCAAGTTCATTCGAAAGTGCTAAAAAAAAATCATAAACAAAAGCTCGTTTATTCTTTTTCATCTATCGATCTTGGAAGTTAGGGCAAAAGAATGTCATGGATTTTTCGTATCATGTTCCATCGTCTCTTTCGATAAGCGAATTTTTAGAAAACGATAACCACGATCTGTACTGTGAAAGTTGGCGAATTTTTACATCATCGACGGTGTTTTCAGTACCGCGTAGAAAATGATATAGCATCGTATCAACGTCGTGCCGAAGTGTCAGATTTGACGCGTGGTAACCTCGTGTTCAGTAGTTTGAATTCGAAGCGATCCCGCGTTTCCTTGGGCTTGGGGACGAGGGGCAAAGGGAGGGAGAGGGTAGAGGCGGCAGCAGCAGCAAGAGGTGGAGGAGGTAGGACGGCGGCCGCGGCTGGGTGGCGTTGTTGGAGTGGCGAGGAGATGGTCGAGGTGGCTGTGGTAACGAAGGTGGGTCGTGGGTCGCTGGTTGGAGGGGGGGAGCATAACGAGCGAGAGAGAAGGAACGAGATAGAGGAAGAAGAAGCGATAGAGAAAGAATAAGAACACGAAAGAGAGAGATGAGAATATATGTACGATATGAAAGACGAGGAAAGAATTCTCGATAAAGAAAGAACGAGATAGAGAAAGGTGACCGGAGGCTCCGAGGCTGCTTCTTCTTTACTTGGCCAACGCTGTAGAGGAAACCTAGCATCGTCTGTGCGCCATGAGGAGAAGGGTACGATGTTCACTAAGTGACGAGGAGGGGGCATAGTTATGACCAACCATCAAGGGGGCAACGTCGTCATGGTTACCACGACGACAACAACCCGATTCTGTTCTAAGGGATGTTTTTAAAAGCATATATTTGCCTTTGCTCTTTTTTTTCTCGCCGATTGCGTGGAGGCGATAGGAACGACTTTTTTTCTATTTTCCATTCGCTGAATGATGGCCTCATTTTATTAGATCAACCAGTTGCAATCGTGCTTTGTGACTATATACATCACGTGTTTAATGAAACAGAAATTTAAAGAATACACATAATTATAATTAATTGTGTAAAACTTATACTTTAATCTTTTCATCGGTATAAATTATAATTAGAAATATAACAATATATATATATATATAGTTATACAATATATATGTCTCAGTGGTAAACTCGTTTATTCTTCAGATTATGAATATACTCAAAATGTTTTATACCAATAAAATATATGATAGGTGTATTTCGAGAAATAGTAGCATTCGCATGATGATTGTATCCGACGGTGACAGAACCAATCGAATCTGTGACTCGAATATTTCCAATCGTTTTACGAAATATTGTTATACAAAAGAAAATGCATTGCAAGAGTTTTTACGTTTTGGATACAAGTGTATAATTAGACATCTTGGTGAAGTTTTTTCGTAAATTTATTTTTTTCATATCCAAAGAATAACTTCTTTATCTTGTACTTAAGATATTTCTCTATCAAGTTTCGATAATGAATTTATTATGAGAAAATATAAGAATATCTTATAGTATACTATAATTTAATTATTTTTCATATTATTCACTGATGTTTCATTTACAACATATAGAATCAAGAGTAGTTCGAACATATCCGACGGATAGTATTACGCGACAGCATTGCCAACCAATTGAATCGAAATAATGATTTTACATATCTAATTTTTTTATATTTTCGTAAATGTTCTTATCACGACGAATTTTTAATAATAGAAAGGAAGGTTTTCAATAGAACAGTAAATGTCTCTGCTAGTGACAGATAGTGCTTGGTACTGTTATTTATATAAGTGGGATATTTTCTTCCGATACGGTTGATTGATCGATTCGCATAATCTTATTGATAGATATGATCAAGAAATTGATTATTTATTTATAATACGATGTATATTTTATTTGTAGTATAATGCTTTTATCTATTTCTAATATAGAAATAAAATTTATTCAATCTATTTTTGTTTTTTTACAATTTTCAAAAAGAATTTTTTGTATTATAATCAGATCAATTTTAATAACTTTAAGAGAAATTTCAAAATTTTAAGTCATTTTACACTATCATTTATCTTTATTTTCTTTTAGAGATTTTGAACAAAGATTTTGATATTATATTTCTACAAACCAATTCAAGATAAAATAATGATTTTCTCCGAGATCACTTTACAAAGTCCAAAAAAAGAAAATTGTTTATTTTCCTTAAACAAATACTGTATGTACATATTGAACATTGAGGTTAATTAACTAATTAACTAACTAAAATTTTATATTCTATGGAGTATTTTCAATAATCTTTATCAAATCAAATGAAAACATATTCCTCAAATGATGAACATATAATAATTAACAATCAATTCTTCTTTCATCCATAATTATAGCTATATCAAATTCTCTTCTATATATCTATTAGACTCTACTCTGAACGACACTATTCATCCGAATACTCTCAGATAATATTTGTCAGGAAACTTCACACCATTCAAGAAAAGTTCATCCAGATGTAAGCAATTCAGAAAGGCAGGCAGATCCATATCTTCGTGTAACATTTTTCATCGGATAAAGGACAAAAACTGAAGGTGGTTGTAAGTTGAAGAACGGCGTGTGCCGCGAACAGTAGCGGTGTAACCCTCCTTGGTCGGTCTGGCCTCCAGCAGTTCCTCCTCCTCCGTCTCGTCGTCCTCCTGCGGCGCATCGAGCCGCTCACCCACCATCACGGGCCATTAACGAGAGAGTTATCGACGCGCGATCTGTCAATAGGCTTCTCCCATTCATAAATTCGCCCGGCGTGTGGCGGCTGCATAGTTTTGCCGCGAAAACCACGTGGCAGCGGTAGCGCGCAACGTCCTCTTCGTGGAGTTGCACCGCAACGAGCCGAGCCGAGGCTCTACTACGTGATTTACGGGCCGCGTCCCCGTTTTAAATGCATGCAGAGCAACCGTGCGTGTGCACGTTCTTCTCTCTCATTCTGTACAAATGCCGGTGTGTGCCACCTTTTCATCTCTCTGTTTCTCTTATTTCATCTCATGCAATCTGTTAGTTCCTCCGTATGGGTTTGTGTACATGCAACGTGGGAGTCGAATGTCTCCGGAGAACCCAATTGCTCGTTTTTTCGGTGTGAGTGTGAAGTAAATATCTTTTAATAGATATAATGCGGTTTGTCCTTTGGTATTGTTGTTTCACTTGAGAAATGAAGACACGTGGAAGAAATGGATATAATGGATTATTTTCAATAGACATGATGTAATTCTTAAAAATAAGCACGTATATTAGATGAAAAACGTCATACAATCAATCAGATTATATAAAAATATGATAATCAGGAAATTAATGAAAACGAGTGTTTATTCTGTTACATGGCATTTATATAATATACATATTATTTCTATTATTTTTCTATATAATTTTAATTCTTACATTTTATGTCCATTAATTCTTAGAATTCTTAGAATTATTCTCTCAATAATAGGATATCGTATCATATTAGTTATTGAATAAACTTTTAATATATATTTGTAATTGATTTTTTTTCATTTTAATTTTTAATATGGATTCAGTGATTCTTAGAATTTTATCCTTTTAATATGTATATATGTGAGAAAATTCAGAATTACAAATGCTAAATAAGCATTGCTGTATTATGTAAAAATTAAAAAATGATTCTAATTGGCTAAAGTTTTGTTTTTTCAACTAGTTTATATCATTTTTGCTGTTTCTTCGAAGTCTTTCATAACAATTTATATATAACATAAACAAACATATAAGAATGTCAGGTTCTAAGTATTATGTTTCTATACATTTATAGATTCAATATTATGTGTTCAAATTTCATTTCAAATATGATTAAATCAATTAATTTTATATTCTAATTTTATATTCTGCTTGCTTATCTTTATCTTTGGTATTTTTTTAAAATTTTTATTATTAAATATTAGACAAATAGATATAGATAGTGATGTTGTCACAGTTTCTATATTATGAAGTCGTAACAACTCTGAATATGATTCAAAGTCCATGCAATGTTTTGAATTTCATATCCCACTCTGTCTTAATACATGTTTGTTTTCTTCCTTAGGTCAAGCTGTATAATCGATTTAAATTATGATAATTTCTGTCAGTAATAAAATTTCGCATATTCAATGTAATGATTCTGGATTTACTATATTATAATTAATTAGATTTATATTTCTTCCGCTAATTTCTCATTTCTGTATATACTTCTGATATACTAATTCTTAAGTAATAATTTTTTTTTTAATTTTGGAGATTATAATATTAGCAAATTACTTATATTATTTTAGAATAATTTATTTGTTAATTATTATTTCAAATAATAATAAAATAGTTTTTTTTGTATGTAAAACACATCT